TATCATGTCACGATTAAAAGTTGCATATGGGACCCCATTCAAGGAAATTTTGATAAACTGAATGGATTTGTAGGCATATATGACAAGAAGAAAAATAAAATAAATATTAGTGAGACAATTCAACTTGAAGTGGAATACCAATCCGTGGCTGCCAAATTTTATAAATGATTGACATAAAAATATCTTCACAACATTTGATTATCATTTTTGTTATCTCTATTTTCTCGTTTTAAGCTCTCATCTATATGATTCATCTTCTATTTACATTTGATTCAGTATCATCATAAGCTGCTCAGAGCACTTGAGTTATTTATATCTGACAGATTCAAAAACTTAACAAACACGATAACACATATAGTTGAAGCTTTGTAGGCATGTGTAACTAATAAATTTGGAAGTAGGAGAATTTGCTATTCTACCTTTGTCCAGTTAAGAATGTCATAAGTGGTTTTGCTTTTGTTGACAACCTTATCCAAGTTTATATAATATTGCACCAGATTAGTTTAAGATTAATAAGGTGTGCTATCAATTATCCACATCTGCCTACCAATTCTTACCAGTCACACCCAAACGTATTCCTTTAGACTTTTTCAAAATCTTTATATATGTCGCTGTGGATAATTCTCAAAATCCTTCACCTTCTTGAACTTATCCTAATCTCTCATATATGCATGTTTAAGTCATGATATGAGTATCATCATCTTTCTGCATAGAATTAGGCTTGCGCAATCATTCTCAGTTGTTTTTCTGTATTGGTTCTACGTTTTTTCTTGAGTCGGTAGTGTGTTGTGATTCATAGACACGAAAATTATATAAATTCTTGTATTTCTTTTTAATAAAAAGATTGTAGGTAAAATGTCGTCCAGGAACAAGCTTAGTAACTCAAGTTCAGAAGATATGATAAATGAAAAGAAGAGGAAGAGAATGATATCCAACCGTGAATCAGCCAAACGATCGAGGATGAAGCGTGAGCAGCACGTTAAAGACCTGAACGATCAGATCATGTATTTCACGAACAAACGCAGTGAAATAATTCATAAGATAAGTGAAATTACACCACTTTATGAGAGAATTGAATCGGAGAACGGAATATTGAGATTGCAGCGTGAAGAACTGAGAAGAAGGCTCGAGTCTTTGGATACAGTTTCTAGGAATACGTGTGAGGCAAATGAGCCTCCGTTGGAGATTTTGGAAGATCTCTTCCTCAAACCATGGCAGCCTCCTTTCCAGTCTCGGCCTATAATGACCTCTGCTGGGATTTTCCGAATTTAAAGCAACAAATCCTTCCAAGATTTGCATATAGCTTGCATTTTTGCAGATGTAAATACGACGTTTTTGTGCAGCCTACCAATCTTCTTCAACAAGGCTTAATCGAACTCAATTTAGAAACCTTTCTTAAGATGTACCGTTTGTCTAATTTCTACTTATAATCGATTAAAACATCAAATGACAAATGATATTATACCGTTTCACTGAACTTACAACTACATGTAGCACAGCACGCTTTAATATGGTCAGATTTACAAATTACAAGCAAGCATCTCTTGTAATATATGAGCACAAACAGGCTATAGAACTTGTTCAATAAGTAAAACACATTAGCTGTCCATTCTTATGTTGGACCAGGAGGGTCGGAGAATGGGAATTACTGAAACTTCCGTGCAGAAATTGAAGTGAGCGGCGTCCCCTTCCAACCAATTGTTAAGCATTTCCCATTCATATCAAACGTGGTGGAGTTCCCGCTGGTGAAATTCTTAAGCACCAGATTTGCTTGATACATAGACGACATGCTCAGTTCTATCTCCACCAACTGAAACCTTTCGAAAAAGGCCCTCCATACATTGACACTCACATGTCGAACCTTTCTTTCTTTTCCCTGAGTCCCTACAATGTTTCTTATTGCAGAACTGCAGCATGTTGATTCAGCATCCCTTCTGTTTTTCTCATCGTTCTTCATACAATCTGCTAAGGTATCAAAAAATGCACCATAATAGAAGAGAGATTCCACAAACCTGTCCACAAAAATCGGAGAATTACAATTTGCCTCGATCTCTGTAACAATCATTACACAAGGATTGATTGTTCTGATCACTTCCATTATATGTTTCAGCCTATCTGGACATCCAATCATAGTTGTCAAAGCATATGCTGCGTAGACAGCCACAGCTTCATCAGTATCAAACTTGAAGAGGTCTATATTAAGATCTAAAATATCTTCTTCCACGACAATGTTAAAAGAAAAGTGAAAGTTCAAGGACTGAGCAAAGCTTGTCAGACGCCTGCCCGTCTCTTCTAATTTTTCCTTCGATTTGATTCCCACAGCCGTGATTGTAAGATGCTCAATGGGATTTTTGCATCTAGTTGAAAGAGCTTGCATCAAAGTAATGCAGTGTATTCCATTCCTGATCTCGAGGTCAATGATGTGTACCTTTCTTGCCTCAGCTAAATGTTCTACTAAAGCTTGAATTGCAGCGAAACTGGTAACCCGAGCAAGAGGTAACTCGTAGCAAAATGCAATCAGGATCGAATCTTTACACTTCAGTGCCTTTAGAGGATCTTCAGACTTCTTCCCTAAACCCTTGGGAGTAATTCTTCCAGTTTCTCTATCAATCTTCTCGTAAAGAGCTTCGCTGAAATAAAAGACTAGTCTCTGAACAGGAGTTCCTTCACTGGAACTCATTCTGTCACACTCACGCAGCAGCTTGATCGCACGTTCATACTGCTTCTCGCCTACTTTTTCAGCAGAGGACAGAAGAATCTGGACAAGCTGAATTTCTTTAGAATCTACTGTAGAGGGGCCTAAAATTGAACCTGTACATGGGTGGCTAAGCATTGAAATCTCACTGCTATTTCGAGAATTTGACCGGATGAATTTTTCTGCAGCCAGTTTAATGATTATTTCAGCTGAAAGTGCTGAAAAACTAAAACTACTGCGTTGCATCTCATAGCTTGACACATTTATCCTTTTACCATTCAATCTTCTCTGCTTGTTTCCATATTTCTTCAGAATCTCAAGCGACCTCGGTGGAATAGCATACTGTCTTTTCTTCTCTGGTTCAATAAGCTCTGAATCTTGCGATTTGACATTAATAAGCTTCCAGAAGTCATCGTCAAATGATTGAAACGGCGGAGAGACAACATCAAGATACAAATCATCAAAGCTCCCAAAATCAGTGAACTGCTGTAGTTGTTGATCAATATGAAATTCAGACGTAAAGGGTCCTGGCTGAGGTATACTATCTCGCACCTCAAAGGAATCCATGCAGGAACTAATTAAATCAAATTCTGTCAGTCCGCATTCTCCACCTTCAAGGACTCCATTTTGATTAGCAAAATTCTCACCTTCCCCAATTCCTGTACTCTTGGAGGAATTATATTCATCCGAATCTTCATCAGTATTCAATTGTTCAGTATGAAACACTTCGTTCAACATCTCATCAGAATTTGGAAACTCAGTATGAATCCTCCAATACTTTCTTTTAGGGAGTTTCTCCTAAAATTATTGCTAGTCTAATTTTCATACAGGACAAGAGCTTTCAACAAATTCCTTGTAAGTAGCGATAACATTGTGACAAAGATTTGGTTTATTCATCTCTTTAAATAATATATACGACATTTTCAATAGCCTGCATTATTTGAGATGAGTGTAACCTGGATTATTTACCTAATATGTTCTGTCAACACTCCACTAGCAACAAAAACAAGAACCAAAATCCAATGAATCACGGACGGTCTATAATCTAGCTGACACAAAAGTTTCAATATTAATATTTTTAGAAAAATGGCATCGAAGGACGGTTTAATTTGGATTAGTTAGGATCTGATTAATATGTAACAAATTTTGGCTAAGGTCACTATCTAACACTAATTTTTTTTTTTTTTTTTTTTTTTAATTTTTTGAAAATTTTTTAAAGGTACCACTACTCAGTTCTTTATTCTGCCTTGCATTATAATCCTAGAAATGACAAAATGAAGGACATAGTAAAATTTCTGTTCCTACTCAAACACCAAGGACCCTATTTTTCTCGACATCCCTCATACAATCAGCCAGGAATTCAAAAAATGCACTGTAGTAAAATAGAGCTTCAACAAACCTGTCCACAAAAATTGGAGAATTACAATCAACCTTGATTTTAGTAAGAATCATTACATGAGTGATAGTTTTGATCGCTCTCATCATGTGTTCCAGTCTATCTGTACATCCAATCATAGCTGTCAAAGTCCCTGTCCCTGTGCAAAGCTTGTAAGACGCCTACCAGTCTCTTCTATTCTTTCCTTTGATTTGGTTCCCACAACCGTAATTTTAAGTTGCTCAACAGCATTTTCAAATCTAGTTCAAAGAGCTTGCATCAAAATTATGCAATGTAATCCATACCTGATCTCAACGTCAATGATGTGTACCTTCCTTGCCCCCACTACATGTTCGACTAAGGCTTTGGTAATCTGAGAGAGAGGAATTCTTCCAGTTTCACTGTCAATCTTCTCATAAAGAGCCTCAGTAAAATAAAAGACTAATCTCTGAACAGGGCTTCCTATATTGGAACTCACTTTGTCACACTCGCGGAGTAACTTAATAGCACGTTTGTACTGCTTCTCACCTTTTTTTTCAGCAGAGGACAGAAGATAAACCTCTTTAGAATCTCCTACAGAGTTAGTCAAAATTGAACTTGGATATGCATGGTTAAGCATGGAAAGCTCATCACTACACTGGGAACTGGACTGGATAAATTTTTCTGCAGCCAGTTGAATGATTATTTCAGCTAAAAGTGTTGGACCGCTACTATTAGTGTAGTGTCTCTCAGAGCTTGGGGCATCTGCCTTTTTATTGTTTAACCTTTTGAATCTGCTTCCATATCTCTTCGGGATCTCAAGAGAACCTGAAGGGAACCCATACCGACTTTTCTTCTTGGGTGCGTTAAGCTCTGAATTTTGTGACTCAATACTAACAAGTGTACTGAATTCGTCGTCAAATGATTGGAAAGCTGGAGAGACAACATCAAGATACAAATCATCAAAGCTCCCGAAATCTGTGAACTGTTTTATTTGTTGGTCAATTTGGTAGTCGGACATGGCAATTCCTGGCTCAGTTATACTATCATGTGTCTGAGAGAACCTGATGCTCGAGCTGAATGGATCAAAATCTGACAGTCCCTATTCCCCACCTCCTAAGAGGACATTTTTATTTGTTAAATTCTCACCTTCCCAATTCCCAATACTCTTTGATGAACTATATTCATATGAAGCTCCATCAGAAGTAAATTGTGCACTAGGGAAAACTCCTTTCGGCATCTTAAATTTTGGAACTTCTGTTTAAACCTTAGTTTCACTGTTTTATGCTAATCCTATAAATAGCAAGTCCATTTTTCATAACATGACAAAAGCTTCCAACAAATATTTACTAGAACACCTTGTAAATGGTGCAAACTTTGGCGTATTCTACCACTTTAATCAATGTTTATGACATTTTCAATAGCCAGCATTGTTTGGCACTAATTTGGATAGCATATATTAAATTCAGTCGCCACTGAATTAACAACACAAACAAGAATCACAATCCAATGGGACGCTGACACAAAAGTTTCAGTAAAAATTTTCTAGAAAAATGATACTAAACCCTTGTGTAGTTTGGACTAGTAAGCTCAACTTTCTAAAACAGATATTTCCATTTAAGAATGTTAAAAGGAAACAAGAAAATTACATAGATGACTTGCATGGAGAAATATTATACAAGGCAGGTGCAATTAGTTATGAGTTATGACACAAGCAACCTACATCTGGATCGTGAATCAGACGTAAAAAACCAAAAATATTTAATTCGATTTTAAATTTTCAGTCCTTTTGAAGCATCATAAACTCTTCAAAGAGCTCATTTTCTGCAAAAGTGAATGACATCTTGCAATGCTATGTACTGACTATTCTCTCTCTCTTTTACTCACATAAGATAAGACAAAGTCGTCAAACTAACTAATTCACCGACACTGCATTTACGCGGCCTTGCTCTAACAGATATTCCGATCTACACCATTTTAAGATACTAGCGCCAGACCTCTTAGATCAACTATAAAATTTTCTATGGTAACTTCAAATCTCTTTTTACATTTCTAGTGAACTAATTTTCCGCACGTATGATCTGAGCCTACATTTCTTGTACTTCTAAGATAATCGCTAGTTTCCCTGCTGCTTCTCATGGTTGGCTTATTTGAATAAATTCAGGGCCTATTAGTACAATGGTTGAACCTTAGCCTTGGCTATATCTAGGGCATCAAACAAGATACAAATTTATTATTGCTTGAAATTTTCAGTGAACAATCATCATGCATCATAATATTGAATATATAAACGAAACTGTTCAACAGAAAATACAGGATAGATACTGAACTTTCGACTTGAAACGGGACATTCCACAAAATCTTCCATGGAGATATTGAACTAAAAGGTGTTGCAGATTCTTTCTTGCATTTTTGGTGTCGGTCTGTGGCGTCTCCGTTTTGGGTAAGTCTTCATTAATTGCAGTCTATTTTGGGCCATCTTCAGCTTTACTTGGCGGTCAAAGGCTTTCCTTTTTGGGCAAGTTTTTAAATATATTTCAGATTATTCCGTTGGTCTCATTGGTGGGTCGGGTCTCCACTTTGGGCCTGTTTGGCCGGTTCTTTTTGGGTTATTACCTGCTGGGCCTTTTTGTTTTCTGTTAGGTATTTTAGGTGTTTTGTTTATCCCAATTCTAAAATCAGGTGAATAATTTGAAAATTCAAAAATCAGGTATATATTTAATTAATTAAAAAGTTTATTAAATAAAGAAATAAAGTCACAATTACATGATCAATAGTCACAGATTCATAATCACAAATCACAAATTTATTTACTGGTCATATATCGTCAAATTAATTGATCAAAGATTATTTCGTGGTCACAAATTAAAAATTTTGTAAGTCACGTATTATTTCAAGGCCACAGATCGTCTAAATTATAGGTCACATGGGTCACAAGTTATTTTGTCACAGACATCTAATGTTTAGTCACAAATAAGTCAAATAGTTGGTCACATACGCCTAATTGTTGGTCACAGACACCCCACCCCATCACCATCGTCTACCACCTCCACTACCATCGACCGCCACAACCACTTTCGACACTTTCACCTCCACCTCCACCTGCACCACACAAAAACTCCTACCAGTTCCACCATCGCCACAACTAGCAGCTCAACCACCATGTACATCCCTATTGCATCCTGCTCCAACAACCAACCACCACCTCCGCCTCCAATTAGCCAACACACCGCCGCTGCATGCTAAAATCCACCACACCACCACAACTACCACCCCTACAACAAAATCATCAAATCAGCCACTGCAACCAATGTCACCACCTCAAAATCACCGTTAACATCCCTACCAATATTACAACCACCAACTAACAAACATTGTCAACCAAAATACTATACAACCCGATCCAAAATCAGAGTCATAAAGCCACCACCACTCTTGTGAACACAACCACCAAATCTACCAACAATCCCCAAATAGCCGCCACCATAACCTCCTCAAATCGGAAAAAGAAAGAACCCAAAATTTTAATGTCACATTTTAATAGTTATTCTGAAAGAACCAAATATTTGATCACATTACCACCACCAACACTACCGTCGCCACGCCTATGGCCACTTGCGACTATTACCTCTAACACAATCAAATAACTTAACCATCATCAACACATCTCCATCGCCAACAATACAAACTAAGCACAGCCCTAACAACCCACTGTCACCAACCATTTTACTCCTGGCAGTGACCTAGTTACAGCAACGCAAACTGTGCATCGACTTTGGACCAAATATTGTTCAGATCTGAAATCATGGCCCCAATTTTGGTTTCAAATCTCAGATCCAGTACAAGGAGTATGAGGTGGCAATAACGATTCATTGTGAATAGATGCGATCTGCCACGTTGAACTTACTCCTAACCTCTACGATATCCCATTCCATCAAAGAACTTGTAGAAGCATTGCCTTGCTGAGCTTTAGAGTCGTGCCTCCATGCACAGAGACGTACTGCTGCAGCCGTGTGAGATGGCGCTGTGCATCGGATGCCGTAATGTGATGTTAACGTTGGGGGAGTGGTGGATGGTTGTGGTGAAATGGGTTTGGGGTGGATGAGGGGAAAATGGTGGAGGAGAAATGCCTATTGTGATAATTTTTGCCTCATTTATGGTATATGATAGCAATGAAGAAAATAATTTAGGGTTTGTAGTGGGGGTTGGGGTGGGTAAATTTTATAATATTATTAATAATTTAACTGATACATGATTTTTGGTTAAATAAACCTCACACCTGATTTTTGAATTCAAAAATCTAAACACCTATTTATATGTAATTTTCCCTAAGAATAAATTTGGCTCAGCCCATAAGAGCGGGCTTTTGTCCAAGCAGCCTTCTACCGTCCCAGCCTAGTTAAGCCATAAAAATTCCTAACAATGCCTTAATATTTTTGCTGGCCCAGTTAACAAGTCCTTGCTTGCCTCTTGTGCTATCTCCACATCCAAGGAGGTAATGCCTCCTTTGAAAGACCTCCATGAGGCAGCTTCTTGTGAGTCTCCGAGTGTCTCCCAAACATTTGGGGACGAGGATATGGAATCTAAAAAATTCTGATTTTCAGTCACATGCGACGGAATTGAAAAACCAAAAAGAGGAAAATCTTGTTGGGATTATTGGTGTTAAAGAGGTTAAAGCTCCATGGGTAAACCTCTTCAACGACAATAGGAAAATGGAGGAAAATATTAAGTTGAAGGCCTTTGATAATCAATCGGAAGAAGTAGTTTTGGGCGAATCGGATGAAGATAATATTGAGAATACTTGGGGATATGGTCTTGTTGGGTATTTTGCCGGTAGGTTTCCGGGGAAAATGGCCTTACTCCAATTGTGTGATTAGTGGAAGGTTAATTACAAATATTATGTGAACTCGAGCGGGTGGTTGGTTTTCAAATTTGAGAAGGATTCGGAAAGGTTAAGTGTGTTGCATGGTGGTCCCTACTTGGTATATGGGAGACCATTAATGTTAAAAGTCATGCCCAGCTACTTTGATTTTGATGACAAAGACGTTAGCACTTTGCCGATTTGGATCAACTTATTGGGATTGCCATTGGAGTTTTGGAACACGAGTGCCTTGGGTAAGATTGTCTCCAAAGTTGGTAAACCTATCTCGACCGATAAGGTCACGACAACTAGAGGTAGACTATCTTATGCAAGAGCACTAGTTGAAGTTGATGCATCTATTGAGCTTGTGCGGGTTGTAAAGATAAGGCTCCCAAATGGCATTTTGAGGGAACAAGAAATTCTTTTTGAGCATGAACCAAAATTTTGTGGTTCTTGTAAAGTGTTTGGGCATTCCACTCTTGGGGTGCAATTACAACAAACATGTCGTGGGTAACAAAAGGAAGTTCGTAAATGGCGAGGTATCAAAAGCCTCCATGACGGTTGCACAAGAGAAGAACACATGGGCTGGAAAGACATGCATAGCTTCTAATGTGCAGCGATCTCTAGTTAACACAGCAACACAATCTCATGAAATTCCAACCACAAACGATGGGCAGCAAACTAGTGAGATAAACAGTCAGCAGAGATAGCCTTTGAATTAGAATTTTACACAGCTACATTCTGATGTTGTGGATGGCCAGCAAGGGTAGAATAAGGACCAGCTGGATGCCCTATTCATTAAGTTAGTAAAAAGGAAAATTGGGGGTGGTCGGGTGAAAAAATTTGCAAGTATAGCAACTTCTCAAGTGTCGTCAAATGAAAGCTGTCAAATGGATATTACTGTGGCAGATTTTATGTCTAACATACGAGGGGCAGCCTCCAAACATGCATGCAATGAAAATCTCAAAGGAAAGGTTGAGAGATAAGGAAAGCGGGGACTAAAATTGACAAGAAGAAGGGTACCTCCCTTGCTTCAACATCATGAAGATGCATCGCATAATATTAGGGGTTTGAACCCCCCCCCCCCCCCCCA